AAGATAGTATCTAGGCGTGGAACTTCTTACTCTACGCGCTTAAGCCAACGTACAGACATACGCGTAAGGGGGGGGTGTATGCGAGACCCATGTCAAGGCTTAGTCGTCATGGCGACAGATTGGACGTCAGGCCTGTGGAGTAGGGAGCATTGGTATCTAAGAGTTCGGGCAAAGTGGTACCGGTGGCAGCATCGAGGTCGCTTCATGTACGCGATGTGCACGTTTGATCCTGAATGACAACATGTGTCCCTCCCTTGGTTCGCTTAAGGTGGAGCGAGATCTAATAGTTGAAGAGAATGAAGTTATAATTCGAGGCCTACCGATAGTCACGAAACCTTCTCATCATGCAGTAAGGGGAGTCGTTGAAAGTTGACATAATTTTGCTGTTCGAGTTCGAATCCTGTCGGACAGCTGATCAGACGATTAGGTGAGGTAGAAAATGAAATCTACACTGAAGGAGAAAACATTTTCGGAGGCTCAACTGAGTGAAACTCAATGATAACTTGAAGACATATCTACATGTTATTGTGTAAAATTATAATATGAGTCCTAATATCATCTTTTTAGAGATCCAATGTATATATTCATATCGGACTGGTTTGGATACTATGGATGAGTACATTTCTTATGTTAAGATCTACAGGCAGTATCAAAACTACTTTATATGAATATAAGAAAGATTGAAGATATGAAGACCAGGATGGTGTGGCCTTTTGTATGGTGGCAGTCCACTTTCGTTGTATAGAAGTTGTTTGACCTTGTTTTCGCAACTTGGTCATTTTGGTAAGAAGACTTAGAGGAACGCACCTGGTCCGGAGTCCATTGTATGCATCATCATTTCCAGAGTCGGACCGTGGACGTGGTCCGGCATAGTCTTAGCACAACACTACAACTGGTCAAAGAGACAAGTGAAAACGATCCTTTGACCAGATGTGTGCTAAATAGTTTTGGTATCTCTCCTTCTGTCCTGGGCTATTCACTCATCAAAACAACTTCTATTCGGAGCGTTGTTGATTTAAATTATATTAAAAATAGAAGAGAACCCTGACTGACCTTGAAAATCACGTTTGCCCACTGATCAGCTGACACCCGTGACAGTGTGAGGTAGTGATAATATGACGAAGATATACGATAAAAATATTTATCGCCTTTCGATTCCTGTTTGCTAGCGAGGCCGAAACTGTTGCCCAATTTAGATGAGAATATCTTTTAAGAGGCAGGAACAATTCGAAGAAGCCAACTCCAAATAGATCTGAGGATGCACCTGAAGTTTTACTCATAAGATTCATTTGATTTTTTTTCCCAAGGATATATTGATTACGGGAAGGAGGCTTACATCGGAATGGCAACTGTTGGGTTGTGCGAAGAAGACCTCGCCTCATCAACCTGCCGACCAGAACAATGAATGCTGATATTTTGGCTGTCCCATCCCGGCAGGCATCGTAATAGCAATAAAACATAATTTCTAAAGCTTAATCACCAATAAATAAGTCCATAATGATCCCTTCCTCTCCACAAGCTGATAGTCCCTACTCTAGACAATCCTCCTTTGGTTTCCGGTCAGACAGTCCAAACGGCTGATTCTAAAATAGACAAATATCGAGTCATTAAACTATCAGGTGATTCTGAGAAATTCAATTTTCCCACAATATTACTCATAAGTATGCTTCTATTAGTCACATGTATGCTGTAGTCTAACTCCTAGACGTAAATTATCGACGACACAACAAGTGAGTATAGAAGACGAAAGTATATGTAGTTGAGGTTTTATATACTCAGCATTATTTCAGACATTTTGCTGCAATGCATATGCTGTAGTTATGTGTTAAAGAGATGGGAAGAAATAGCAGGAGGTGCCGGCAGAAACCGGGAAACCGAAAGGTCGGCTGCTTAGTGTGTCTATGTG